TATACATATATATATATACATATATATATATATATATTCATCAAAATACATAGCTTGTAAAATTAAATTTTATATGTATCCATTCAAAATCTTATTTTAAAATTTGACGCGAATTACAGGTCGCATTTAAAGTAAATTTTATCACTGAAAAAAAATGATTTGATTGTACCAACAAGACGTATATATGATTGAATGAATTTTTATGGAATCAAAAAGAATTTCTCTGATTATAATAATTATATTCAATGTGATGTGTATATATCAACATGCATATTATATAAAATTATAAATTTTATAACTATCCATAATTTTATTTTGAAATTTGACGTGAATTATAGATTACGTTTAAAATGGATATATGTATGTATGTATATATACAACACACAATACATGTACTGAAATGTTTTATATATCACATACGAAATTTTAAAACAACCTATTCTCTTTATTTTAAAATTTGACGTAAATTTTATATCGTCTAAAATGGATTCTGAACAAAAAGAATAAAACATAAAATATCGGCTTTCCTGGAATAATTATTTTACGTAACTTCTACAAAAAAGATGTATCGGGATTGCGCACGTGTTTCGCACGAGGAAGTTTCCAAATGCTTTAAACCGCATGTTGCGAATAGAATAGCATTAAAAATTATAACTATTTCAATACATCATTGACATTATTGTATCAGTTATAATTAACATTATGCTAGCCGACGACATTAAAATTGCACAACCGGTCTGCTAGATTTTTTTTTACTGACGACTAATGCATGCATGATTTCTCATTGCTGTGCAGCCGCGATGGGCTCGTTTGTCACGCGCGATTATGTGCAATTAACAACTAGATCAGTCGAGAAGGAGTAAGCCCGTTAAAGGATTATGCTGTGTATATATTCACTAATCGCAGGTCCATTATATCACCGATATTGCAATTTGCACTCTCGCGCGTCAGACAAGCATTTTTATCTTTAAAACATGATGTTCTAGAAGGATTCTGATGTATCAAAGTATTTTAAGCATATTCTCTCGTTTTTACCATAAATGTATAAATTCTCTTCTTCTTCCTCTTTCCGTCTATCTCTCTCTCCTTCAGATTTATTTAGTCATGCTTGATTTCTTATAAAATGATGAAATTCTACGTTGTAATACATCATCTGGAAGATTCCGCGCAAACAAGTTAATATAATAGTTCATTGATATATAAATTTAACGTTAATATTTTTTTAACCACATGTTTCGTTATTTTATGTACTTATAATAAAATAATATGTAAAATATACTATAATTATTATGAGGGACTGAAGCATGACTAGCATAGCTTTTCATGTGTGAGGTCAATGCTATTTTAGCGCAAGATCAAGTAAACGAGATCAATAATGTTGTTACGTACCTATGTATTGAAATTATGCGAATAGAACGACTTTCGCGCGGCCTTCATTCAGCCATACCTCGCTACAACTGCATATAAATGAGTCATGGCAATTTATTTAATGCTTAACCTTCGCTTATATTGCTATCTTAATTAAGTCGTTAACATAAAATGCAATATTATAAAATAAGTACAAATAATTGTACTTATTTTATACAATAATTGCAATTTAAGAAAATAAATAAACTGGTTATAAATTTTGATGATTAAATAAACGTATTTTTTTATTGCTAATTTCACAGTAATTAGCTGTTGTAACAAAAAAAAAACAAAAAACTTTGTTCTACCACGAAGAAAAAAGATTTTTACATAAGCAGGAATCGAGCGATTTGAATCTATAATAAAATAATTAGCATCTTGTCTGCATGCAGATAACAACAGAAAACGTTAAATTTATAAAATCATAATAAAATATTTCTAATTGTCACTTAAATCTGTTGTTTATTAATAAACTTTGTTATTGAATATATGTTCAGTATATGTTTGTGTGTGTGCGTATGTAATATTTCTTACAATGTTTTCTAGAACCTTTTATAATACATGATCACTTATTAGCATCTAAAACAATAATTTACATTGGATATATGTGTATCCAATAAATGTCACATAATTGTTTGCTTAAACGCGCACGTGCGTTATTAATTTTCTTTCGTTGAAATTTTAATGACGTAGCCAGCTCAATTATTCATTAATAATTTCCAATATGAAAATTGGAAATTAATAATATGAAACACGCACGATCACAATATATCTATCTATCAATTGATGCGGATTTCGAAATTAGTTTTGGTCATTTAAACGTCGTTTCTGTGTAATTAAATTAACTATCAGTGTAAAGAGAGATACGTACTTTGCTCTCGATAACGAAACACGTTACTCGATTTCCGGCGTAGAAGAAAAATCGCGTTCGTTGTAACGTTCGTAGTCATATGGAGACTGAATCGTGGGTGTGACGCCAATAAAAGTCCGTGTCTTTATGCTAATGCGGGCATGTAGATTAGGAAAGAAAAAAATAAACCGGTCACGATTATAGTCTTTATAATCAATTTATGATGTTCACGCTGTCGCACTAACACGATGTTTATACGCGTGTGTAATACTTTATATGCATAATGTGCAACATAATTAATTCAATCTCGATGTTGTATTAATTTTTTTTCACAAGGAACAGCGAAAAATAGACGTTTTAGATATCAATATATATCAGAAGAACATTTTTTTATCGAACACAATGCAGTGATGATAATAATGTAACGATGTTAGTAACAATATACGACGAGTTTATGAACGGAAGAAATGTGTAAATGAGGAACAAAAATAACACAATAAGAAGTACACGCAATTAATCATTCACGAGCAGGTGGTTGGAATATCATCTGTGTTTCCGCGAACTTTGTGACCAGTTCTATCTTGTTAATAAAATATTTAAAAAAATACACTTCGATATTGTAGATCCTGAGATACGAATAACGGATAATGTATTTTATCCTACCATCCGCAAGCATGTTAAATGCTTCAATTTTAATGGAAAC